TCGCTGCGCTCCTTGTCAACTGCAGCACGGCGGCTGCTCTTAATCAAGTGCTGACAACCAGCGCACAACAATTTTCACAATTGCATTTTAATAAACTTCGTGCAGTTACCCTGCCCTTGCCCCCCAGCCCTTTACTCCACTGTTGGGTTTAGTTTTCATTTAACACCTTTTTTTTTTTTTTTTTTGGCTTTTGTTACAATTTGGTCGCTTGTTGTTTTAGGCACACCGCAGGCTCAGCAGCTACTCGTGTCCTGGAAATGTATCTGCAACTGTATCTAAATCTATTTCCATTTCTATTACTGTTTCGATTTCCATTTCTATTTGTGTTACTGTGTTACGGGTTTTCGGATCTGGTTTCGCTGCCTTCTCTGCCCGTGCCACATACAGCTGCCTCGCGTGTATCCTGAGCCATTGTTGACTTTGCTGAGTGACTGATTTTTAATGATTTTTCTTTTTTTTGTTAAGGGTTTTTAAATAAAGCAATGATTAAAATACGTCGTATAATGGCTTGCACATTGCTCATTTTAAATGATATATATATTTATACATGTATAACTATAATCAGATTATTTCATCTATGGTCCATCTAGCTAATGACCCTCTATGATTTGTTGAGTTTAAGTCGGAGATTATATGAGCTAGATGCACCAAATTTGGCATGTGGACTCTCGAATACTATACACAGATAAAAAATATGTCAGAGACTTTGAAGTATTCCATTTGGCAAAACTAACTTATTCATATTAAAGCCAAAGGATTGACCTTTGGTATATACACACTCTTGTATGCCATTTTAATGTGCTGTAAATTGCATGAAGATCCGACTGGTAACTACCGAAGTTAGTCAAGAATGCATTACTCTAACATAGTTATGGACGTAGGGCGTTGAGTTCAGGGTATCTACTAGTCTGTTACTCGCGACTCTCACCTGTTTGCCTGTTAAAATTTCGAACGAATTAATCTTTAGGTTCAATTGCGAAATGTGCATTAAGTGCAACCCTTTAACTGTATCCCCTGTTAACCCCTCCGCCCTTCCGCACACTTTGCCATCAAAATGCGTACAGCCATTTTGTTTAGTTGCCGTGTGGCATATGTTGCAAAGGATTCTTCGTATGCTACGCACTTGTTAAGCGGGCCTTGAGGGCTTAACTCCTCGTGTGCAGCTCATTTGAAAACGATTTAAGCTTGTTGCCCCTGTCCGCCGAAAATGCCCCCTCCACTGTTGCAGCTAGTAATCAACTTGAAATGACATTTCAAGTTGGTCGCGTCCTCGCAAGTCCTTGTACATGTCAGCTTGGCAAGGTGTTTCGTTTCACATATCAACAACAGCCGCTGCTCAAAAACTGGGCACATTTAACATGTTCGTGTCGGCAATGTCCTGCATCCTGCTGCCTGCTGCCTTCTACCTTCTGTTCTGCCCCGTTGTCATTGTCAACGCAAATCTGTTTTGATTTTAATCCTGCTTATGCGCTGTGAAGCCGACTCGAACAATGCTCTGCTTGGATGCCATTGGACCTGCGGCGCATACTCTGCCCTCTGCCAGCCAGCCAGCCAGCCGGTTTGCCTCTGCCATTGTTGTGCAGCGAGCCGTGCTGCTTGTTGTTGAACACAAATCCGCTGATGTCCTGGTTGCTGCCACAACTGCTCCTGCTGCTGCTGCTGCTGTTGCAGCTTCCGTTGATGCTGATTATGAGCCTTAAGTGCCGAAATCAATGCACACAAATGGCCAAATTACATGGTCAGCAGCAGCAGCAGCAGCAGCAGCGGGGGGTTGGTGGGGTTTGCAATTCTTGCTGTTTTGTTTATTAATCAATTGATTTTTTTTTTGGCTCGCTGTGTGAAATGTTGCACGTGAGCAAATCCTATGAAAATAAAAAAAAGGTTAGAAAAAAAAATAAAAATAGAGAGAAGGAACTTAGTTAAGTAGCGTGTGCATTTGACACTTGTTAAAATATTTGCGCCTGTCTGAAACACACACTCGCACACTCGCACACTCGCAGACTCGCACACACACTTGAGCTGCTCCTTGCACTCGTGATGTCCCCGTCCTGGCGGGGTTGCTCAACGCCCGTCGCCTGTCGCGTATTTAGCGAACGTGTTTTCACAACTAACAAGGATGTTAATTTTGTTGCTGCTGTTGCACGTCCTCCTTTTGCGGCACTATTTTTATTTTTATTTTATTTCGAGCTTTGCACCAAATGCCTTTTCACACCCTGCCAAAAAAAAAAAAAAAAAAATAGAGAAAATAATGCTCATGTCCAGCGCCGAGGGTCTCGTATTTTATTATATACACTTTCTCTATATTGGATACTATTCAATTTAAAAAAGGAACAACAAAGGATTATTAAAATTAAAAATTAGTCGTCAAATCTTTTGTATTAGTTAATATAATAACAATTTGTTAATATATTTTCTTACTACTGATTTATATTTAAAACTCTTTCTCCAAAATTTTAATTCAAATATTCAGATATTTAGATAACAATTTGTTATTTAAGTTAATAATTTAATCAACTAGCAGCACAATCATTTAGTAGCATGAATACCCTCACTACTCAATAGAAGTTTTAAAATTTTCAAAGAGTTGCTGTTAGTGTATTTTTGTATTCGTTCTAATGATAATAGTTTTGCACGCTCGTATTTTATTTTTATTTTAACGCCATCGTTGATGTCCTCGCTGCTCCTGTTGCTGTTTATTTTACGGGCAGCGACGATTATGTGTGGCTCCCGCAACGGGAACCGGGCACAGGGTCTGTAGATGCTGCACAGGCGGTAAGGAGGGGAGTGAGCGGTGAAAGGAAACCTCAGCCACATCCGATACTCGACGGCGTTGACCATTTTGTGTGTTTGGATTGATGCGCCCCGGCGAGGCGAACTAAATACTTTGCACAAGCGATGTCCTCGCCAAGCACACACACACACACACACACACACACAGGACACATGACAAACGATGACAGGCTAGAGAGGAAAACGTGGGTGGCACGGGGTACTGGGGGCGGTATGAGGGACATGGCGACCTCTGATGTTGACTGGGTAAAAGCATCCTTCATGCAGCTTTGTGCTTGTTGGTTTAAGAAAATTATTAAGGATATTTTTGTGGTGCTGATGAGTTTGCCGAGTACTTTTTCGGCCAGGACATTGACCAACCAACCAAACCCAAGCAAACAGCTTGTGTGGATGACGATCTCCCCATGCGTGTGCGTGTATGTGTGTGTGTGTGTTGGTTAAGTGTGCAGCGAGCACAAATAGCAAAACAGGAAGCTCAAGTATGTTTACAGTTGACAACGCCAGAGGAGAGCTTTTTCTCTCTCTCTCTCTATATAATGCCCCCACACCCAAACCCAAACCCAATCTGGCAATCGCAGTCGGAGTCGCAGTTCCATACACTAGTCGAGTCGCATCCAGGACACGTAGCGGGCGCTTTTGTTTGCCAGCCGAGTGGTCGATTGCTGGGGGGTGGAGGGGGTCCTGTGTGAGTTTGAGTAATGGACGCTTTTATTTGAGCGCCACACACACGCACACACACTCGTCAGCTAACCCCCCATTTGCAGTCAAGGCTCTGTGTGTCAAAAGGGGTCAAATGGTGTATCCCCTTTTTTATACTATTTTTGAGGGTATTTTCGCATTGGACATTTGCAATGTCGCGCAAGAGAAGTCTTTGATATATATTCTTGATCAATATTGAACGTATTGAGACAATACCTTTGTCGGAATTGGTCGAAAAAAAAAAACGATGGGTCAAAATTTAAGTATAGCCTGTATGGAACATCTAAAAATCGTAATAGACTTCAATAGGAACAAACAATTGGACTCTTGTATTTTAATACTTTTTGCTTTTTTTTTGCCTTGAAGGGTATTTAATATTCGGCGTGGCAGTTGATAAACGTTGTTTCCATTTCTGGCATTGTAGTTGCTTTTGTTTGCTTTGGCCAGCATTTGGCTTCAATATTATTTCGTTTTATCCGACATTGTCATGGCGTATCAATCACTCATATTATACCGAGTATATGGAATATATATATATAAATATATATATGTTTATATGTGTATATGTGTATATATCTGAAGTATAGGTTGCTATTTGTTTGGGCTGAGTCGATTGCTTGATGAATTCTGCACTTAAATAGTAAAAATTTGTATGCCATTCATTTAGATTGTACACAAAGTGACGAGTGACGAGTGGAGGAGGCGACTGACGAGTGGAGGAGACGGCGACGAGTGGCATGTCGAGTGGCAAATCAACGATTGCTCTTTACACAATCGTCTCGTTAGGGGTAGTCCCTTGTAATTGATGATGATTTCTGTTTACTCTCCAGCCCAATTTATTATGATAAATCACGAATTAAAAGGGTGTCGACGGGTTTGGTTGATATTTTTAGTGTTTGTAATCAACGCTCTCTAATTGAATGCACAACATGCGTGCGAATTATTTGCACAACATCATCAGCAACAGCAACAGCAACAGCAGCAGCAAAAATAAATCTGGGAATTTGCACTTCTTCTGCGTCTGCTTCGACACCCCTCTTCGAGCTCAGCTTTTAGCTGAGCTACTCAATGCATGCCATGTCACAGATTCGGCTGTGTAGCTGTCTGTCCTGGGCCGTGGCTTAGTCCTTATTTGCTTACAAACATTTAGCAACAACATTTTATGCGAATGCCTACTGCTAATCGTTTTTGCATTTTGAAGCATGCTTAATGCCAAACGCGTGTCCCTGATTACCATATGAAGGATATTACCTACTCTGCAGTTGAAACAAACAAAAGAACACTCACAGAAATAAAATAAAAAGCGATTGACTATGTGGGTGTGTGTGTGGGGCAAATAATATTGACAAGTGGGAGGTGGAATATATCAAGATACTTTCAAGACAAAACAAGATAAAAAACATGTCTTTTTCCCGAATTTTCCAGGTTTTGCTTTTCTCGAAAACAATAACTGTTGAAATGTTGTTTAAGTTGAGATTTTAATTCAAAAGGTTTTTAATAAAAGATTGATATTTCCGAGCGATCAGTGCTTTATTTTGAAAAATGTTTTAACAAATGTACACAAACTTTCCACCTAATTTCCACTAGTTTGGGTGGTTTGCGCAATATTGGTTCGCGAGGTTGTCAGAAAACAGTTGTGGGTTGAAATTCTATGTTTCACCTACTCCAGCGTAAATCCACCGTTTTCACTTATCGGAATAGGTGAAATATACGTGGAATTTGACAGCTATCAATAATTAAAAAGAAAATTAACTTTCACGGTGGATTGAAAAAGTGATTTATGTTGTAGCTCTTACTCTTTCTCAAGTTTCTGTATTTCTCGCTCTCTCTCTCTCTCTCTCTCTATCTCTCTCTCTATCTCGCTCTGTCTTTCTCTTTCTCTCCCTCTCTCTATCTCTCTCTCTCTTTCTCTCTCTCTCTCTCTCTCTCTTTGTTTATATTTCTCTCTTTCAATGTTTGTTTCTCTATTTCTGATTTTGACATGCAACTCAATTGTATATTTCTTTTGTCACTCACAATCTTCCTCCCTCTTACTGTCTCCCTCTTGCTTTTCCAGCTATGCGGTGATCACTGGACTAATTGGAATGCTTTCGCGTCGTTGCATGAAGGTGCGCGAGTCCATTGAGCAGAACCAAAGCGTCATGTTGAGTCTGCTGACCACGTTGGGCTTCCTGACGCGTTTCATTGATGTTTGTCCGCCCGGTGAGTAATTGTTATTGTTGTTGCTGCGCCAAAGTCACACCTTGGCCAGGGTAAACAGGACATACTAATTAACCCGCTGCTGCTTCCTCTTACGCTTCGCCCTGCAGGTCCTGGCGATCCCACACGTTTGCTGGGCGCTGCCAAATCCACGGAACTGTTCGGCACCGTCGCAATGCTCGCCGGCTGTGTGGTGCCCAAAGGTAAGTTTTATAACGCATCTTAAATCTACAACAACATTAAACAGTAGCTGGACATCTGTGCCAAGTGGGCGTGGTCGGGTTCGGGCTCGGAATCGGGGTGCTAATTGATTTTGTGTGCGTTTTACGTGAGTTTCGGTCGCTGGCGGAAATTAATTTTGATTTTTCTTGTGAGATGCTAAAGTTTTTATGGTACATATATACCCATCAATATCCGCTTACTATCTTCTAGTGCTGCTGCTGCTTCTTCTTTTACTTATTCTTCTCCTTTTGCTTTTTGTATTGCAGGTGAATGCATTCCGCCGCGCACGACCGCCTTGGCGGCATCGACTTTTAATCTTTACGTGTCGCTGGCTTCGCTGGATGTGAGCAGTTTTCAGGTGAGTTGTCAGCCCTAAACCTAAGCAACTCCCCCCACCACCCAGCCACTCCCCCTTTTTTCTACAGCTCTCTCGCTCGCCCAGTCTCCCCCTCCCCTCCTCTCTACATATTGAAGTGCACAAATGCCGCTTAAACAAATCACAAAGTCAGCCGTTGAAAATTTCATTATGTTAAGTTTTTACTTTCAATACCCTAACCGTGGGTATTACCATTTTGTTGCGACTCTGACTCCGAATGAGTCCGAATCGATTTCGAATCGTTTTGATTTCTAGTCAAATCAATTTCCTCAAAAAGATTACATCATTTCGATATGCTTCGTATTGCCTGTCCAAAAATAATTATATGGAGTAAAATTATTTAATTAAATAAACAAAACTAACATCGGTGAAAAGGGCAAGGCTTTCCAAAATAATGATTCCGAAAAATTTAATTTGAATTGTTTGGAAAATTGATTCGTTAAATAAAATACTTTTTGTTTTAGATCTATTATTATTATATAATAAAAGAGTTTTTTTCGGTCTCTTTCGAAATTCGAAAAATCTTTTCCTTGAACCGATTTGCAATTGAGATTTTGTTTAAGAAACTTTCTGCTGCTTATCAAGTTTTTTTTTACTGAATATAGATAAATATCTTCGACATCGGCCATTTAGGAATGTAAGGGTATTTAAAGGGCCGCAATGCGAACAAAACTTTTTGTTTTCCCAATTTTTGTTGTTCTCAGATTTTTGTTGATTTTCTTTGCTTTGCACTTGAGAAGTTTGTCGCACGTGAAATCGCCTGAGAAAATTGGGCAAAACCCCGACAGCAACAACAACAAAGCAACAAATTGTGGCTAAAAGTTAGTATTCAGTTTAGAGACAATAAAGAAAGAAAATAAAAAGTTGTCGCCGTTTTCTGGCATCGAGTGGCAGCTAAATTTGCATATTGGCAAAATGTCATGACTGTGCCTTGTCAGGTGACATCAGTCTGGGTGGTACAGGTATGCTGTCTGTCTACCTATGTGTGTGTGTGTGCGTGTGTGTGTGTGTGTGTGTAGGGGTTGCATGACATTTGCGCCAAATGACAAACAACATCTCAGCGCAATTGAACCGCAAAGGCGACGCCGACGCAGCCGACGCCGCCGTCGCCGCCGCCTGACATTTCGGCGGTGCGCTGTGGTTTAGCGCAAAGTGGGCGGTGCGGGCTGCCGTTTGCTGGGCAAATATTTCGATACTTTACCTTGGGGCATGTTGCAAGTTATGTGCAGGCGGCAGGCTGCAAGTGGTTTGCCAGATGAAACGGCATATGAAAGCAGCGCTTGATTGACTGACTGGCTGCTTGACTGCTTGACTGACTGACTGACTAGCTGACTGATTGAGTGGCTGCCCGTTGCCTTGTCTACATTTCATTTCCTGCTGCCTCGTGTCAATATTTGTAGCCACAGCTTTGAGTATTTTTGCCCCTTGCCACGTTCCCCCTCCCCCTCCCCCGCCCTGCTCAACGCACTTGACAAACTAATTTGTTGCGCAAACAGCGCAAAATGAAAATGCAGGCAAGCGGCATTTGGCTTGGATTAGGCCAAGTTAAGCAAAAACTTGCCAGCCGTTTATTTGTTTTAAATTACCACAAAAATAGATAAACTTTCCCGTCCAGTCGCCACGCACCGCCCAGCCCCGCCCCCTGATGCCACCCTTCGCAGGCACTCATCTTTTGCGCCCTGTAATTGTTGTTGTTGTTGCTGTTGTTGTTGTTGCTGTTTGTTTGCGTTGTCTAAAAAATATGTATAACTCTTGGCTGGCAAATAATTTGATTTGGTTTTAATCAGCGAGAGACGCAACACACGCACAACCACAGAGCAGCTCAATTTTCAAGTGCTGCTGCTGCTCTGCCTGGCAAATATTGACTTTGTAAAATGAAATTTTCAAGTTTAACCCAAGCACCAAGCACACACACACACACACACACGCACACACACAATCCGCACACACACAGCCAGCTACTGCCTGCCTGATTGTTTTTTGAAGGATGCCGCCGCGCCGCCTCGCCTGGCCTGGACTCGCAACGCATCGCGCGCATCGTTTACTCTCTGAGCCATGCACAAATCCTCGCTCATATCCTGCCTACTACATCCTGCTGCCCCTTCCCCAAGCACCCTTGCCCCCTGTTAGCCAGCCAAACCAACCAACCAGCCAGGCACGTCAATTGTTTGGCTAAATATTTGCTCAATGCTCGTACAAGTTGCCAGTTTCAGTTTTGGTTTATTTTTTTATTTTTATATACCCTCAACGCATTGGTAATGGCTTAAAGGGTATAATAGCTGTGTGCAAGCGTTTGTAACACGCAGGAGTAGGCATCACCAATCTCAACAATTTTATATGACAAGCTAGCATTCATGATGCTCTAACATAGGGTATTTCAGCAAAATATCGATAAATATCGATTTTAGATATGGATATATGATAATTGTATATTAGACTCTCTTATAATCCTTGTTCTTTGTGCACACAGCTGGGTCGCATATTGAAATCCTAAAAACTGCATAAAGATCGGACTATAAAGACTTAAGTAAAGGAAAGAACCATAGTTGTTATGCACGGCTAAAATGCTTCAAGTGTCAGCTTAGCTGTGGGCTCGGAGTATCTCATAGTCGGGCATACTCGATAAGATTACTTTTGCTTTTTGCTGTATTTTGGACTTTGCGTTTTTATTGCACACAGCAGCGAGGGTTGTTTCAGTTTGTCAACAGCACAAAGAGAGCTGCCTAATTACTATATGGCCATTTTTCAAGTATGCCTGATTAGCATAAATTTAAAATTGATAAGCAGCTTAAGTCGGTGATACTAAGCTGAACTATATACTAAATAATGAAGGCTTCGTTAGTCAAGGGTTTTAGGGAGATTTAAATCATTTGAATTTTTTTAAATATATGTATTTCGACCATGCACTGCTCTATCAATAATTGTGTTTCTTAAACTATCGATATTCTTAATATTTATCGATACCAATACTTATCGATTTGATCGAAAATAAACAGTTTTACACTGTTCGCGCTTTGCCTTTTGAATTCTTGCGATACTTTAAACCAACTCTTTTTTACTCTCGTTTTATGACCATGCTTCGCCCGATTATCAAGTATTGTGATTTTAGAACTCTTTATTTTCAACCCATTTATCGATTTAATCGAAAAGGGATAGTTTTAAATTGTTCGATATTTGACTATTTTGACCACGCTCCGCTCGTTTAATTAGTTACTGTTCTTTTTGATTCGACATAGACATCGACATAGACATCGATATTTTAAACCAACTATTTATTGGCTTGACCAAAAAGGGAGGGGTTTATTTTGTTCGATAGATAAGTTATAACTAATAGAAAAAATGATATAGCTCCTTTTTATTCGAAAGAAGATCTGCCATAGAGAAATCTAAAACTTTTGATTTAATACGATTCCGCTGGAAATGCAACATTTTGCTGTGCTCGACGGCGACTGTACAAAATTGTTGACTTTTTGCTGTCCACACTAATTGCAGGGTATCTGAGAGTTACTCACACCCCAATTTTTTGACTTCATGTTGTTTTTTTTGTTTTTTGATTGTGTGCCTCGGCCTTCGCAGTTGGCCGCACGGCTGCCAAAACAAACAAATTAGAAGCGAGAGCTCATTGCCCGTTGCCCGTTGTCCGTTGTCCGTTGTCCGTTTGTTTCGTCCTGCTTCGTTCCGCTATGCAAATAAATGTATACCACACACACACACACACACACACGCACAACAAACAATTGAGCACTTCACTTCCTGCTCTAAACAAGTGCCACTCTTTGATATTTGCTTTGACTTAATTAAAACATTTGCACAGTGATTCCACACAATTTTTATTGACTTTTTTTTTTAATATATTCTTGTTGTTTGTTGCCAATTAAATGACAACCCTACTTCTGGTTCTTCGTCTAATTCACAGGAGGTGCTTTCGGTGGAGGGTCCCTTGTCGGTAAAGCTGCTCGATGTGATGACCACAATACTCAATCATAGCATAAATCAAACAAACGCCACAGCCAGCTCGGAGAGCTCCACGATGCTGATAGATTTGATAGCATCGCTGGCATTCTTCAGTGTGAACAATCGTCGGCATCAGGAGATGCTCATCACGGAACCGTTTGCGGTGATCTTTAAGAATCTGTCGATGCTCTCGACACAATTTAATCCGGTCATTTATCCATTTTTGGTGACCATGTGCTATAACAATGCCCCCGCCAGGCAGCTCATATCACGCGACTTTGATCTAGGGGTGAGTGCAAAGGACACAGCCAAATCAATACATGTATATATGTGAAAACCTTGTTAACTTTATAAACCTCTTAACGATCGTTGCAGTTTCTCGATGAGTACAGCAGATCGGATGCGGCCAAGCGAAATCGTTTAATACAAATGATGCACGACAAGGGCAACAATAAGAACAACAACAGCAACAGTCAGCAAAATAAGGCCTGATTGTAGAGAGTCTATGTGTGTCTCTCTCTATCTCTATATATCCCTCTCACTCTCACCCGCTCTAGCTATCTCGCTCTCTGCCAGTGCGCGTGTGTCTGCCGCAAAGTGATATTATTTTCAAAGAAAATCAAACAAAAACGAAGAAAACTTCAAACATTCGCAAGTGAAAAATGCTTTGATAAATGAGAAAGCATATGAATTTGCAATTATTTTTACAATAATTTATAATCAATTGATATATATATATATATATATATATATATTTATATATATATATGTATATATGTGTGTGTGTATTGTATGCTAGTTATAACACACATATATTACTTAATAACTCATAACTTACACATTCACAATCAACACAAACAACCACAACAACAACAACAACAAAAACTCGCATAGTTTTATTACAATTCGCAATGTAATTAATGTTCGTTTTTGACAAAAGT